TGCAATCTGATTCATCATGCAAGCCCCTGGGAACTGAAAAGTTGCTTATGGAGCTCTCCATAGGACAAAGATTGGGTGCCTCTACAGTAGAGTAGTAAGTTAGAACAAGGCATGCAGCGAAGTTAGATATAATGCAGGTTACAAGGGACACAATATAGTTACGACCAAACTTGTCTGGGTTGCATCACACTGTAAAATGTTAAAAGTAATTTAAAAAAAAAATATCACTGCCACTATAGAAAGTTAGCAGGGATTTTTTTTTTTTCCTTTTAGCATTTTGAAAGATTCACAAATCATGCAAGGAAGATGGAACAAGCATGCATCTTATAAAGGAATGCAAGTCTCAAACAGATGAAGGGTATACAATATTTAGGATGTTTCAAATAATTTCTTCCTTTAAAGTAAGTTATACAAAAGTACCAAATCTTTTGACTGTATTTGCACTAGTTGGCCAGTTTTAGATTTTTAGACTGTATCTGCATCCCAATATTCTGCTGGGTTGAATAACAGGGGAAGATGAGTTGAGGGGAATTATTAAAATCATGACAAGAGCTTGAATTGTCACATCAATAAACGTATAAGGAGTACAACAATCTCTGCAGAGAGCCCCTCAGCCCTTTTGCCACCATTCTCCTGAATATCTATTTTGATGCATTTCTTTCCAATCTGAAGTCAGATGTTGTTGAACCATTTTATTACGGTAACTCTTCACTGATTGGCCAATTGAGCCACGTGTCTTCAAAACTTGTGACATTTTTAACATTTCAGATCTTTCAAAAACTTGGTCATGTCCTTTGAAAAGATTTCAAGTCAGTAGGTTATTGTGTGCTAAACACATAGAATTAGCTGCTGGGTGTCCAAAAGAAAGCAAGTCTTGGTAGGTAGATGGGCATATGAAATTGGACTTGTCCTTTAAAAGGAGTTTTGCGAGATCTCTGTGGGCCACTTATCCTGAAATATAAAGCAAATTCAAGCCCTGCTCATGACAGGGAGCATTCCTTTATTGTACCTTCACTATCCGAACGACCTGAGGGAAACACGCCAGTGGCCGACAAGTAGATCAGCAGCACACTGTTCGCAGGCAGCTCCTGAAATTCAAGCAAAGGAAAGGGGCAGGAGGAAAATTCAGACATTAATTGTAACATGCTACATACATTCTGTATCAGCTTGATAAAATCATTGGTATTTACAGGCGCAACTCCTCTGCCCTGGCTGCCCTTCAGCCTTATGTGGCTGCTTTGCATGTATCTATAATCGCTTATACAGACACTTCTTGAATCAATGGGCATTTGGGTTAAGAACAGCCATGCTGGGTCAGACCAATGGTTCATCTAAGCCCAGTATCCCGTCTTCCAACAGTGGCCAATGCCAGGTGCTTCAGAGGGAACGTACAAAACAGGCAATCAAGCAATCCATATGGGTACACACAGTGATGCGTGCTGCAGAGGTACTCAGTTGTATCTTTTTAAATATCTGATTGATACGCCGGGTTCAGAGGCTGTAAGAGCACCATTTCCCCACATCCCCTCTTCCCTAATATCTAGTGAGACACAGACTTCCTGGAATGTGGAATCTAAGAGTTAAGCCAAGATCCCTTTGGAAGAAGAGACTCTCCAGCTGTCCCAGAATTCTGAAGGAGGTCTTGGCTCCCCTTTCCCCTTCCCCCCCAAAAAAGGGCCTGCAACAAAAATAATATCCCAAAACTTCTCAGTTGGGCAACTTGCCAAAAAACCACCCAGGGTGCTGAATCCTGCACGAGTCTGTGCAAGCAATGCATATGCATCCATGTGCCACCTTTCCGTTCACTCCCTGCATGGGAGCACCGACATATCTGAGACCCCTGCTTTCTGGGGGAGAGACTGAGCATGCAGGCACGCACAACACCAAACACAGTCAGGAAGTTTCATTTTAGGCTCATCAGCTGTGACACTGCTTCCTCTGTAAAGAAACAAGTTGTTTTTAGCAACTAAATCCCCTGGTTGCTGCTGGTACAAACAATTAAATATACTGGGCCCTACAACTATATTAACTGGAAATGAATTTAACCACTGTAACTTTGTAGAATTCTTAGTAAAGATACTTATATATTTAGATCAGATAATCTGCCACTAAGACAGACAACCAGATAAATCATTAAAATTTCCATCCTATGAAGAGGATGGAGATTAACCTTTTGTCATTTACTTTACAATTTAAAAAGGCTAGTAAAGCCTTAGTTTTCAGGAAAAATAAAAAAAGAAAGGGATTTTTCTTGACTCAGTTACTTTTCTTTAGAGAAGTGTACCATTCCAGAGATTTTTTTTTTTAAATCAACTGACAAATACACTTGATTTTACAAACCTTAAACGCTGCTGCTAAGAACGTATATAGCTGGCTGAAGGTAGGTTTATACAGCAAGTACTTATGGGGATTTTCCCGCCTAGCAGGTTTCTCAGTCGACTCCTATTTAAAAAAAACAAAAAAGCACACCATGTATATTCCTAATATAGCTTTATCTTTAAACTTCCATTTATCTATTTATTCATTTTCAATGTGCTTCCCTAACATATTGGTCTGCCCATGTAGCATTCTCTACTGAGTACCACAGTAACAAAGTTCAGGTCAGAAACCGTTTGACAGTCAGTATTCAGGCTTAACCCTCAATTTAACTTGCCACCCAAATCCTGCTTTTATCCTGGATTATAATTTAGAGAGAACAAGGTGAGAAAATGCAGTCTCCAATTCAGTTAGTTCCCGATCCCTTAATAAAAGCTCCCTGACCATATTTTCGAGGACACTCCCTGATAACAGCACACATCAGCCTCATTCTAGCTCCGCGTTTTTTACTTTGTTCTTCCAAGACAAACATTTGCTTCCATTTTATTTGTACCTCAACATACTGCTGTGAAGTGTGCTGACAAAAACCAAGGACTGGCAATTCTCCCCTTTGTCTACAGATGAAACACAAAATGCATCCTAAATATCTACTCTAGACTATACGAACAGGGATGACCCAAATGAGAGACCAGATCAAGTCTTTCTGTTGGAACCAAACAATACTTGCTACTGAAGCTTCCACATATAATAGAGAAGCCACCGTTACCCAAGTCCAACTCTAGAGTTTGAACCCCCTTTCTGTAAATATCAGAAGAAGAGTTATAACAACATAGCTGCCATGCTCTATATACAGAGAATTCTGTTGCCAAGTTTTCAACTGAAAATGAAACTCACCTGCATTCCAGGTTTGTTCATTTGTGAAGCCAAGTTCATTGGTTCCCTTTCCAGTGCTTGCAACATTCGGAACATGTCAACCGTTAATTCACTGAACTTTACCTGCAAGAGGAACACTGCCATCACTAATGCATCCTGTCTGGCATGGGGTAAATAGTTACTCTGCTTCCTAAGAATTAGCCAGGTAAGAGCATTGAACTGTGTACTGAAAAGATTAGAGTGAAAGACTATACAATATCTAAAAGTGCCCAACATTTGGTTAAGATACTTGTAACCCCACTGCTGACATGGAAAAAGTATAGAGATGAGATATGAAAGCCACTTGACCTCATTGTTAGCTAAAAAGACAGAAAGTTTCCCCAGGCTGTTTGGAAAGACATTCATCTGTTGCATCACCTGTGATGTGACCCTCCTATGGAAGTGTCACATCACAGGTGATGCAACAGATCGGGTTTTTCCAGACAGACTGTCCCACAAAAGACATGGCACCAGCATGTTTTAAATGCGCATGTAGCGGGGTGGTCACCTGCTCCTGGTCTGAAAGGGTTAAAAGCCAGCCCTTGGAAAGGGCTGGGGCTGGGAGCCTTAGGCTGGGCTGACTGGGGAGGCAGCCTCAGCTGTGCAGACACACAGTCTCCTCTAGCTGTAGAGGGAGACAGGCCTGGCTGCTGGGGAGCTAGAGAAGGTACCTGGAGTGGAGCAGGGCTGGGGGAAGGCCACGGGAGCCGGGGAGCTCCGGCCTGGAAACCCCCCAGGCTGCGGCCTAGTATAAGGCCAAACAGGTACTGGGGTTGCAGGGGCCAGCCCCACTATAGGTAGAGGTAGCAGGTCCAAACCCAACCTTGCCGGTGATGAGTGGCTTATACTGCAGTCTGCACCAGTGAGAGGGGGCTAGTTGGTGACTGGTGGTAGCCTACGACTGAGGTGAGGTGGGGATAGTGGGTGGGGGGTTCCCCTGGGTGGGGAGAACCAGAGAGTGGGGTACTGCCTGGGGGGCAGCACCCTGAGGAAAGGGGCACCGGATCCAGGAGGGACACAAGGGCGAAAGCAGTGAGTGGCGAGACTTCGGCCTGCAGAGGGCGCTCCAAGGCTGGAAAAAGAGCCAATTCCCAGGATGCCAGCAGGAGGCGCCGCCAGGTGAGTCGGCGCACGACTACAGCGCACAACAGGCTGCGGGTATCAGATAGAAGAGATCATTCTTAACTAGCATAATGGATACAAGTGGTAAAAAAGATATGTGGCAATGGGCTGATATGGGGAGGTCACTTACCTTGCAGTAACTTGAGTTTGAGTAGTTTTGTCCCTATGGGTACTCTTTCGTAGGATGTGCCCATGCGCTCTTGACTAAAGAATGCAAAGTACTGTGTGCAGGACTGCACCTAGCAGCACCTTGTGCTTCCAAAGGAGGGCATATAACAGTGACAGCAGGTCCGTGCCTCTTCAGTTCCTTCTTGAGTGTGAAGCAGAACTCCACAGCTGAGAGAAAGGGGGAAGGGAAGTGGAGCACCCATATGAACAGGGCCAGCTTTAGGACCTGCGGGGCCAGATTCGAATACCTGGCGGCGGTCCGGGTCTTCAACGGCACTTTGGCGACGGGGCGGTCCATCACTCGGCTCCGGATCTTCCGCGGCACTGAAGGACCCCCCGCCGCCGAAGTGCCGCCGCCCGGTGAGTAAAAAAAAAAATTTAAAAAGGCACCTAAGGCGCGGGGCCCTCTTAGGCACGGGGCCCAATTCTGGGGAATTGGCCAAAAGCTGGCCCTGCATACGAACAAAACATCTTGAAGAACTCAAAGTTACTGCAAGATAACTAACCTCTTCTTCAGGTATGTGTCCCTATAGGTGCTCCACCATAGGAGACTCCCCAGCAGTAACTCAACGAGGAGACCAGTCCAAGACAATTCAAAGGACCATCACCAAAGGTAGCATCATCCCTGGAAGCAGGTAAAATGGCACAATGCTTGGCTAAGGCATGAACAGAAGACCAAATTGCAGTCCTACAAGTTTCTGTTACAGGAACATCTTTCAGGAGAGCTACAGATGTGGACTGATCTCTAGTGGAATGTGCTGTCACTCCATGAAGGGGCTGCATCCCAGCGGATTCATAACAGGTTAAAAAGCAACCCGAAACCCATTTCAAGAGTCTGCGTGGAAATCGGTTGTCCCTTCCTCTGTGAAAAAGTCTACAAATAATCTGGGAGAGGCCCAGAAGGTCTTAGTCCTGCCCACGTAGAAGTCAAGAGCAGTTCAGACATCTAGTGTATGTAGGCTGGCCACCTCTCTGGAAGCATGATGCTTTGAGTACCTGGTATGTGGATCTCTTGATTAATACCTTTGGAAGAAGCAAGGATGTGATACAGCATAACCATATTTCTATAGAAGGTAGTAAATGATGTGTCTGCCATCAGAGCACTGAGCTCTCTCTCATATGTCTAGGTGAAGTGATGGCTATAAAGAACGAAGTTTTGAAGGAGAAGTGGAGGACAGAACAGGTATCCATCAGTTCAAAGGAGGTTTTCCTCAGGGCACTGAGAACCAAATTAAAAATTCCCACTGGGGGGCCAGAGGCCATACCGGGGAAACAAGTCATGTAAACCTGGAGGGATCTGGCTGTACTGGAATGGGCAAAAAACTGAGAAGCCCTCAAAAAGTGGAAGGCAGTGATAATGGGCAAGTGTACTCATTGCTAGACAGCAGGTCTACAAATCCAATAGTTAGTCTAGGATTTTGGAGAGCAGAACACCTTTTCAGTCTATACAAGCATCAGAGAACACTAGGAATGGAAGTATTTCTAGTTTTGAAGGTAAGTTTTGTGAGTACTAAGTTTCCTGCTAGATTGGATAAGGTCTAGTCAGTTCTCCTAACATATTAGCTCCATGCTCAAGAACCATCTAGGAACCATGCTCTCAGATTCAGGGGGGAGGGGGTTCAGACAGATCAGGGTCCCAGAGTTCTGGGACAGGAGATCCTTCGTGAGAGAAAGTCTGGGAGGCATTGCCAAAAAGAGGTGAAGGAGGTTCAAGTACCACACTTGTGTTGGCCAGAATGGTGTTATGAGGATAACCCTCTCTTTCCTGTTGCAGTTTAAGCAAGGTCTTGAGGAACACAGGTAGATCAGGTAAGCACATAGCGGGATACGGGGCCACAGTGTTGTCAGGGCACTCTCTACCTCCCTGTTGATTCATATGTAAATAAGTCTCCCCATTTTGATTCCACACTGCTCAATTTACATTGGAGACAGGTTGATAGCTGCCTTCCCTCGAGTTCAGGAGAAAACCAGTTTCTCCCTGTGTTTGGTCACAGACTTTGAAGCAGATCAGTGAGTATCCATAATTTCTCATATAGTATTTCCAAAATGCATTATGATATTAATCACCAGTAAGTCACAGGCTTTCATAAAAGACCTTACTAAAAACAATTTTTTAATACAGTAATTTGTATTCAATCAGTTGATTCAATTACTTATCTGAGGTTCAGACCCCCATCATTAACAGTTAAGAGGTATCTCCCCCCTACTTGCTAGGTTGATGGTTTTGTTTATCTTTTATGTAAGTATACCTTCATTATCTCTGCTTGTCTGACCAACCTGGTTGTCAGGCAAATACGCACTCCTTTGTACAAGGCAAACTGTGTTTCAAGTGTGTTTGGCAACACTTGGTACTGGTAGTGTTCTGAGCCTATTGCAAAACGTACAAAATGTTTGTGGGATGCGGGGAGGGAGTGAGAGGAGGAAAGATGGCTACATGAAAGTAGACATTCTGGAGGTCAAGGGCAACAAACCAGTCTCCCATATCTAATTGGAATGACGACAGCTAGTGTCACCATGCTGAAGTGCTGGGAAAGGATATAGGTGTCCAGGTTTCTTTGAGGTCGAGGATTGGTCTCCATCCTCTGCCCCCTTGGGAATGAGGAAATAGTTGGAATAAAACCCTGTTCCAATGAACTCTGGGGGAACAGGTCTGACCAACCCCAAGAGTAGGAGAGACTTAAAACAAGGGGTCCACAGAGATCTTTGTGAGAGGGGTCCCTGAAGAGGGACAAAGAATGAGGGTGCCATGGGTGGGAGAGGGGGACACAGTATGGAAGTGGATAGAATATCCCACATTAATCACCTCCAATACCTAGAGCCCTGTGCGGATACAAAAATGTGGATCCGCATCAGCATCTTCTACCTGTATCCGTATCTGTACCCACGGTAGCAAGGGGGAGGGGAAGCGAGCGGGGGAGGGGGGCCTGAGGTCTTACAGGGAAGAGGCAGCACAAGGGCGGGGACTGGGGGTAAGGAGTAGCGTGGAGGCAAGGTCTCAAGAAGGGGCAGCATAAGGAGAGAGTATGAAGTGGGTTTGTTGATTTCTCTTATTAGCCGCATCCACCTCCAGGGAATTGGGAAGGAGGAGGAAAAAGAAACACTCCATTCCCTTGATCATTTACAGGTGGGCTGGATAGTAGCAGGTGTTTGCTAGACTGTGCAAATAGGCGATAACAGAGCCTCATTGATTGGGAGAGCAATTTTCTTGAGGGGATATTTAGAATGTCCACCAAGGAGTGTTGAGACTCCTGGACCTCTTGTCATAGGATCTGGAGGGACTGTGCCAGGCAGTTCAGGGGGGTTTGGAAAGCCCAAAGGTCATCAGCATAAGATCGTATATGGACTCAGCAAGGTGTGATGGTATGGTGCCAAAAGAAAGAGCCCTGTACCAGGACCTTAGAGTCGAAAGCAGTATCATCCCTGGGGCTGAAAAGGGGAACATAAGATATAGGTGCCAGGACTGGAGTCCAGCTGAGGTTCAGTCTGGGAGGATTGTGGTTGGAGGTGTTCATGCAGTACCGGGGATGGAGCGTTTAGAGGACCGTAACAGGGGAGATTCTGGTTCTTCCAGTTATAGAAGAGGTCCTCCGTGGAGAGAAATCTGGAGAGTGCTCGTGGGCTATGGTATCCAGAAGTCTGGACAGTACTGGAACCCGGAGAAGGGGTCTGGGCTGAAAAGGAAAGCATGGTACCAGAGAGGCTTGTAGAGGAACTTCTGACCTCAGAGCTCTGGTGCAGGGAAGGCATTGACAGTGGAACATGAGTGGGAGGCCAGCGTGCATCTCAATGCACAAGAGGTGTGAGTCGGTACTCAGGGAGATGGCTGCATGTACTGTTTATTAGAAGACTTCTCATACTGCTTCTTGTGCGGTACTGGTACCAGAATCAGACAGAGACCCAGTTGTACCCCTTGAGGAATGCGAGATCTCCTGAGAGTGGGATTTATGAGGCTTCTTCTCGGAAGTCCTAGCCTCTGGAGGTGCTGCTGGAGCTGCAACAGCCACCGGAGCACCCTGGGATTGAGGTTGATGTATGGTGGGGGAAGCGAACAGCCTCCACTGGGGCTTCTGAGTGTTCCATTAGCAGGCGCTTCAGCTTACTCTCTGCCTTTGCTACCTTTAAACTACCTTTCAACAATGCACAGACCCTACGCTTCGATGGGATGTGGGTGGCTCTGAAGCAGCTCAAATGCCCATCGCTAGAGTGAAAAAGACTTGAGGCAGGTCTGGCAGGACTTAAATCCCAGGGTCTTCAGCATCACCCAGAATGCTAATGGACCAAAACAGAGGACTGAAAGACGGGGGGCGGGGGGAGGGGACACTAAGAATCACTACATTTAAGTAAGGTGGGAAGCTGAGAATGAGTGGACATGCAATCTCTCCATATCGAGCTGCAGCCGGCTGAGACAGAACTGAGTGGTGGTGGGTCCAGGCCTCCCTATATACCCTCATTTGGAGTCACAAGGCGGACACTGCTTTGCATTCTCCAGTCAAGAGCACTCGGATGCGAGCGCATCCTATGGTGGAGTACCCATAGGGACATACACTCGAAAGAACAGGACAGAAAGGACAGTTCTTGTTGGTTATCACTCAGTTTTGCCAAACTCTCAGCTCATCTACAGTCACTCTTAACATCATTGCTAAAGATTTTGTATTTGCCTCTTTTGGACTCTGCAATTTCCTTTAGTAGAATCAGGAAAAAAAATGAACTGTTTTCAATTCCAATTGAAGACTGAACATACAAACAATTCCTTGTAGTCTCCTTTACCTGGTTATTGCAATTCCCAATAATTAATGCATCTGCAAGAGTGAGCTGTCCCACGATCATTCCCTGCTCCAGCAATGGGGCCCCTGTTTCAGACAGTCTGTTGGAGGTGATTACGATGGTATTGTCATCATTTAAAACCATCACAGGATCTGCCTGGAAAGATAAACCAGCACAGAGCATGAATTCCAAGGACACCCACAGGGTCCACGACCACTAGCAAAAGGGACTATGTCCTGTCACTCATAATAGACATCCCATAGCTGAAATGAAGACTACTTTATTTGTTTTAATAATTTGCCTTTTATATCCTAAGGCCGCAGAGCAATTCCAGCTTGGAAAAGGAGCTGCTCCTAGGGACTAGAACAGTGTTTCTCAAACTGGGGCTGCCGCTTGTGTAGGGAAAGCCCCTGGCGGGCCGGGCCAGTTTGTTTACCTGCCCCTCCGCAGGTCCGGCCGATCGCGGCTCCCACTGGCCGCGGTTCGCTGCTCCACGTCAATGGGGGCTGCTGGAAGCAGCGCGGGCCGAGGGTCGTACTGGCCGCCACTTCCAGCAGCTCCCATTGGCCTGGAGCAGCGAACCGGGCAGGTAAACAAACCGGCCCTCCCCGCCAGGGGCTTTCCCTACACAAGCGGCGGCCCCCGTTTGAGAAACACTGGACTAGAAGAAAGTACCTTGGATATTTAAACACAAATATTTGTGTTTAGCACTTTAAGTGCAGTTGAGAGGAGAATGTACCCATGCAGGATAAGCCATTTGACTTCGCTTCCCAGAATCAGGGGAAACAAACTTCACTAAACACAAGCACAGCAGGCAATCCACATGCAGCCCATGCAGATAATTGGTAACATTTCTACATGGCAGAAAAATCCTGCATTATTTACATTTCTCCTCTTTCATAGAGAGAAATAATGAAAGAAACAAGCCAACAGTAGTCCAGCATTTCAATCTAATAATGATTAAATACTGGGGCGCGGGTATTCGTACGTATGTATGTGCATACACATTGTACAAATGGAGGAAAGTAGGAAACTGTCTCCTATTTTATAGAAGAAATCCTCATTTTTCTTTGTAGCAAGACATAAAAAGGGCAATATTACAGTTATGCCAAGACATACTGCCAGTATAACTGCCAAGATTATACTGTATTTTCCATTACATATTGCTTATGCGTTGCCAGAATAATATGCCAGTACTGCAAGCATCAAAATATATTTGGAAGTTACTAATACAGTCAGAAGCAGGCCTCCCACAAAGATGGGCCTGTAGCTGGCAGCCCTTCTACAGCAGTTACTATGCCAATGGCTGTGTTCTGATCCCAGTGTCACCTGAACACCAGGTGTAAGAAGAGAGGTGGGGAGACAGCAGGTCACAACCTCACGCTTCCACTCGCTGCTAGCTTTATGTTGCTTGAGCAGATCTGACACAGATGTCTCCTTAACAGCTCAGCTACTGCAGAATATTTCATCAGCAGACTGGAGAGGAGTGTGGCACACCTGCACACAAGACCATTCCTTACTAGCTTGCTCCCCATGGCACGGCCTCAGAGAACAGTCTGCAGTGACGAGTTCCCATGTTTTACTTTTAAAACAAGAGGGCTTTTTATGAAGGACACTTTCGAACAAACTGCAGAGACCAAGGTTTCCTTCATTCTCACCTCAACAAAAGCCGCCACCTCTTGAAGAACCAGGTTCCACTCCACCTGGTCCTCAGTGTTAAAGCGGTGAGTGTAATCTTCAATTTCATCAGATAATTCCTGAGGTAGAAAGTCCAAAGGAAGAGGAATAATGAATAACTCTTTTGAAAGTTAAGGCAGTCATCTCTCATAAATAAGGCGGTCTCAGCACTTCAGGGATGAGACATCTAAGCAATCTAATTATAGAAGTTTTAATTATCATTACCCACATGGCCATATCCAATCTGGAACATGGCCAAGAAGTTGGTCAACATGTGCTACTTCAGGGGACAGGACTCCAGGTACCCTTACTTTGCACTCTGAGAACACAAACACCTTTCAAACAAACCCAAGAGCAAGGGAGGGCACTCATTTCAGACACAAAATTAACTGGCACACCTGCACAACGCGATCAGACTGGTTAGTGTAAATTCTTGCTATCACAAGGGCTGACTCAAATCTAAGGTTCCTGAACTTGTTGAAAGTGATCGGTAAGTGAATGGCCTGTCCTTTCCAGCTGCCCCCCTGCTAGTTTGTGCTGTGCAGCTCTTTGGTGTCTGTCCCATTGGATCCAGACAGGCAAAGAGCAATGCAGCTTACAGAAAACTGCCAACACCAGGACGTAGCTTGCAGCAGTGTAGGAAGGTTCTTGGGGAAGTCTGGCGTTCCTGTCGTTACTCTTTGGAAAGCAAGACTATTGTCAGAAACAGCCACCCAACTCCAGGCACCCATGCCTACTTGGATGTTTTCCCTTTATGTTAGATCTCGTCAAGTGGAAAACAGCAGGCCACTGGAGTGTAACATTTTCCCTAAACACGAAGTATCTAATTTGGTCCAGGATATTCCCTTAACTCCAAACATATTGAAGATGCACTGCTGCTCGATGACATACCCTGGTCTGTATCCTAATCCCTATCTATCTATTGTCCCCCAAAGTTTGAAGCAGTTCTGAAAGGTAAGTCTTTCCCTCACCCCCATCATGCGCGCACACAGATTCTATATCTTTCCTGTCCCTTAATGTCTCAAGTCTTTCCCAATCTGGTTTCTGGAAGATCACAATAGATGCTTTTCATTTGCAAGGAACACCTCAGAGATTCCAAGTACCAGATTGGAAAGGAACAGAGCACTGTGCTGAGCAGAAGGGCTGACAGAATCAAAATGGGAGGGATTTCATGGAGAGGGAGGGTCATGGAGACTTTTGAGGTCAGAGAGAGAGGTGGGAGCTACTGGCTTGGGAGGAGGGAGGTGCACAAGGCTAGAGAGAAGATCCCCAAACATTCAGACAGCTGAAACAAGTGGGATATTCACATCCACACTGTATGGGGTTTATCCAAATCCAACTTCATGACATCTGCCTTCCACCAATGGCAAAACCACTCTTTGGTCAAGTGCTCAGGTCATTTACGTCTACATGAGGCACAGAACACCAAAACACATCAAGATGTTGTTCCTCCCACTGCAGATCCCAGGCCAGGTTTAGTTAAAGCTGCAAGATTAACAGGAACAGCAGCAGCTGAGATCTTATGTGTGAGATTTCAACTGAAAGAGAGAGATCCTGGATGCCATAATATCCCATTAAATGCAGGAAGAAAAGCTCTGCGTGACTAGTGGCCTGTATTGCATGGGCATGTACACTTTCCATTGTCCTCATATCATTAATTTACCTTTACGAGGTCCTTCACAACATCCATTTTGTTGAGCAAAAGACAAACCACTATAAACCTTGCATAATAACGCAGCTTCTTAACCACCAGTTCAGGCCTGAAAAAGAAAACACCAATGCAGTGGTCATGGAAAGATGATCTGTGCTGACCCTAGCATGAATTCAAGCAACGTAGGAGCTGCTCTTATTTAGACCTGCTGGGCATAATCCCTAAAGGGCCCCACACATCAGCTAAGGATCAGCAGAGCTCTGTGCTGCCTCGCACACATCCCCTACTCTAATGTGAGATGTGGGTGGTTGGTGCAGGAGCTGGCTCTACTGGCTTTCTGCCAGTTTATGGTCAGAACCTGGCTCCTTTGTGTTATCTGCTGATGGATCACAAATGAGATTCTGGACCACTGAGTCAAACCATCAGAGAGAACAAAACATTCAACATCTGCAAGTTCAATTATGAGACAATGTCTTATCACATTTTCACCTTTGTAAAATAAATCTGCCACAGTCTTTAAAGAGGACATCTCTGCCAATCACATCTAGTCTGAATGAGCTCAGACACCCAGACTGGAGTGAGGAGATTCTCCAAGGAAAAATAAGCTAAGATCTGAGGCCAACAATAAAGGACACTAAAATGGCTGTTTAGTCTATCTGCAGACTTTCAGATGGTATGCTCAGAAAATCAGTAAGGCTCTAGGTCCTGCTAACCAAGTCCAAAATTCTTGAGTGCCTGTCACAAACTTGGCAGGCAATTCTATATTGCCGTGATCATCAGTATAAAAATCTCTTTCTCAAAAGTCAATCCAGATCACTTCTTCCCCAATTCTAACTAGCCACTGACCTCACCTCCCAGCCAGAGCACAGGACTGACAGCAAGAACCTCTTGAGTTCAGTGTCTGCTCATACTGAATCCTCCTAGTCGCTTGGGAGCCTGAAGTGTTAGACAACACCTCGCAGCATCCTTTTGAATGAGCCCTGCTCCGGATTGCTCCCCACAGGAGCACACCTCTCAGGCTTTCTGGAATAGTTAACGAATGGGGAGGACCACATTACCCTAGTCAGGTGTGGTAAGGCTGCCAAACTGCCAACATCACTGCACTTTGGAGAATTTTCAAGTAAAAATAAAGGGGCCTATTATTTCCTCTACTTTGTTTCTGCATGAGCAAGTTAATCTCCCAGCTCTAGAACACTATGTGGGTAATTCCCAGTGACAGCACTGATAAAAAAAGGCTGGGAAGGACACAGATGAGCAGCTGAAGGTCTTCCTTGCTGCTGAACCCAATTGCTAATTCCTCTAGTCTCCAGACATGGCTGGTGGTTCTACAATAAAGTGTTTAATCAGGATTGTTAGGATTAACAACGACTTCCTCTGCAGAGCTGCTCTTACCCCAGTTATTTTCCCTTAATCGCAGTTTACAATTCAAGGCTGCTTCTGCTCATCACTTTAATCCTCAAAAAAAAAAAAAAAAAGGGGGGGGAAGAGAAAGAGACAAGATGCTGGTGCAGTCATACCTGTCCTCTTTATTGACTTGGGAGTAATATGATCTTTGTCGAATTGCTGAATAAAAGGAGAAGGCTTCATTCAGATAGCTGGTTTCAGATGTCCGCAGGCTGTGGGAGAAACATATTACCTCACAGCTCCATGTAGAGGGTCCTGTCACCCCTACCCCTGCCACTGACACACAAGATGATTGAGTGGGTAAAACATGCTCTCTCTCAAGTGAGTGTTACATTAAAAAAGCAAGTTTCCCAATCCCAGCACATGATTGGAGGAGATTCCAGCGCTTCAATTTTATTTCAGACAGTCTAAGGAAGTAGCCAGCAGCAAAGATCAGCTGTCAGTACCTCATGCCCATACGTACAGGTGATACGTTAACATGGGAGATTTAAGGGGAACAACAATTTCAAATCCCAAACTAGTAACTAAATCAATATGCAAAGTCAATGCAACAGATATGGAAGACTTTAAAATGACCCTTGAGGTCAAAGAGGCAGACCTTTAGCACCATCAACAAAACTTGCAGAATAATATTTGGGCATGAGGGTCATCTTTGGGATTGACTTTTTGATTCTGCAATGAATCTTGTTGGGTAACAAATGCTGTGAGTGGTCCCTCCTGGGGCTTTCTTGTACCACTCCTGAGGGCATGTCTACACTAGAAACGTAAGTCAACCAACAACTACTGCAGTAATTACTACAGTGGTTCATGTCCACAATACCCTCTTTCTGTTGGTTGTACGCGTCCTCACCAGGAGTGTTTCCACTGACTTAAGAGGGGCAGTGACGGGGGCTGAGAGCCTGGACAGCTGTTGGTCTGGGAACCAGAAGCGGGGATCCAGGGAGCACCTGTGCTCCGAGCTGGGAGGGCGCAGCCTGACTGGGAGCAGGGAACTCGGAGAGCAGCTGGGCTCTAGCTGGAACCCCCCACCCACCCCAGTGACAGCTGGGCTTTCTTGTCAATTTCATTGCTCCAGTATGGAGCTGCAAAATTGACAAGAATGAGAGCCAACAGCCGATGTAAGTAGTGCAGTGTCTAACTACACCGACATACACCCTACATCTCTCAGAGAGGCAAAGTTATGTGGGTGTAAGAGGGCACTTACATTGGATGGAGGAAGGCTGTAGTGGGTACACTGACATAATTAGGTCGACATAAGCTGCCTTACGTCAACCTAACTCTGTAGCGTAGACCAAGGTGCAGTCATTTGAGAGTACACATGGTTCCTCCCAACCCCATCCTACACTGCTGGCTCAGGAAGGAAATTGTTCTGGAACTACCACCATGTGTGCTGCATGGGCCATGAGCAACACCATTGTCTCCAGCAGGCACCGCAATAGATTCACTTACTAATAATGGTAGTAGAGCTGCCCAATCTTGGAGGCAATTTCCCCAATCTGCCACCGCTTCAATCCATATCGATTGTCCAGTACTTGTCTATTTCAAGCAAGAGAAAAGGGAGAGTATTAATATATCCCATGCATTTCCCAGAACAGCAACCCATCCAAATCCAGGTCAAGACACTATTCTGAGACCAAATCCTGCTCGCCTTACTTACGTGGGTATTCGCAACAACAGCCCTTAGAGAAAAACTTCTATACTCTAACATGGCATTTACAAGCAAGCTCTGGCAGAGTTGTGCACACATTAGGAGGGGCACATTGCAAAACAAGGGATTCCACAGCACCAAAAATGTGTGACAGCTGGAGGGATCATTGTGTTTCACAAATAACATGAAAGAGGGTCGCAGCTTCCTGAGAACACTCAAGAGAGCTGGGTACAGTGAGGTGTGAAAGGTCAGAGCTTGTGCAGCAGCAAGACATTGCATCCATTCCACATGGGCACGGGTGCACTGCAGAGACCTTCAGCAGGTTAAGGCAGTGTGCATGTAAGCAGGCTGGGAAGTTGTTTTTGTTTTTAAAAAAAGGTTACATAAAGAAAAGATTATATGCAACTTTTTGGTTTAAATTAATTTAAATTCTTCAGGGCACGGACTGTCTCCCCTTGTGCTGGGACAGCACAATCGGACCCCAGTCCAGGCCTCTGAGCACTACCATAATACAAAAAGAACACTGCAGAATTATTTGAAGATGGTTCTCAGGAGCATTTTCTTACCTATGCTGCTGTTGAAATTTCCAGAGTTTAGTGTAAACATCAAAGGTTCGCCCAAAATAGGACTGCCACTGCTTCTGCCCATACTGAGGCAAATCTCTGCAACAGATAAATGCAGAATAATTGCAGAATACATCCATCAGCCCAGGATGTGAGACGCAAACTCAGTCAGAGATTTTTGTTTGGGTGGTTGTTTTTTTAAAGTTAACATTTGTATTCTTAAAAAAAAAAAAAGACTTGTGATATTCTATGACCAGTCCACACCTGCAAGTTTATGTTCGGTCTCTGTGGGTAGATCAGCTGCAATACAGACAGAAGAGATCCTGGGTTCAGGCTGCAGGCCAGTACTTGGGTTCATACTTCCTACTAGCACTGCAGTGTTAGGGCAGGTGGCACTTTGCTCGAGACACCAGACTAAACTGGGTCATCAACTCATGAAGCAGTTTCTGCTCAGAGAGAGAGAGACGGGGGGGGGGGGGCATGTATTCCCACACCCATTCTTCTGTTGTTACCCCTTACACTCAGGCAGAATTCTTTGGCCCCTGCATAGACAAGACTGGGCATTTCATTAACACTAACAATTCCTAGACAGACATGGACAACAACCTGAATATTTGCTAAGGGTCAGTTTATCACTGACTGAGAATGAGAGAGAATGGCAGAGTAATGCAGAGATCTGGTGCCTTGAACTGCCTGACATCACCACCACTCACCCCATGCAATGTCATATAATCTACAAGGCAACACTAGTATCAGAGGAGGGGAGGATAGGCTGGTGCCAGCTAGCATTCACCAGTCCTTGGGACAGAGCCTTTTGGGGGCTAAGAAGGTATTTTTGCCTCAGAGCAAAGACTAATAGCAAAGAACTGCCACAGTTCTTCAAAACCACCCACACACCACCACTCCAAACACACAGTGCCCTGCACTGCAGTATACACTCCTCATTTTCACCTGCACAAACACACACAACTCTCCCAACACAACACAACCCACACACAAATCAAACAACCAGCATGCACAATAACCCCCAAAATCACTCTGAAGTCTAGATTGTCTATTAGGTCACCATGAAGTGATGGAAAACAGCAACAAGTACAGCTGAGAGCTTTTTTTGCTCGGAATATCACCAGACTCATTCTTCACTAGGATTCACAGTCTGTTACCACCAGTTTAAGTTCTTGGTCATTTTTGTTTTTTTGTTGTTTTTAAACTCAACTTTACGAATTACACCTGTGTAACAGCAAAGGCTTTTAGCTACCAGCGTATCACTATAGACTGTGCATTTATAATACATACAACATATTACTATGTATGTACTTGCTTCATCCGGCTATGGCTGGAATTAGGGGATGGCTGTCACAATATGCAAGTACAGCAACAGCTGGAGGGAGCTAATGCCACGTGTGAATTCACAGAATGTGTTTACATGGTGGTGGGCTGTGTAGATGCAGACACACGTGTGCATGTGTATAGATGCAGGATTTAGAGAGTGGAAAGGAATTCATGTATTCCAAGCTCTGTGAATGTGTCCTTTTACCACAAGGTGTCAGGTCTCTTGACATCTTTAAAACACAAGACTCTCTCTCTACATATTTACTGTAACCCTGAAAACAACTCCCGAAGGAAATGGCAGGGTTCTTGCAGCTCCTACGCTTTCAAGCAGGCGACTGGAAACAGCAACAAAAGCAGTTATATGCACCAAATTCTAAATGAGATACTAAATATCATCCACAGTCAGGAACATACTGCGGAGACTTCAGCTCTGCCCAAAAAAGAGGAGACTTTGGTACAACACATCATTGTTTGGTTACTCTTAGACACTATGTTATGCAGCCACTATTACTGTCGGCAGAAATGGGAAGTTAATGGTCCGTGGAATGAAATTAAACGGTGCCAGTGATTGCCCCATAAGCCAAATCTCCTTGGAGCTTGTGCTGTGCAAGGGTAACTTTGGTACGAAACAATTGTTTATAGACCCCTCCCTAAATTACAAGAGGCAGGCCCATTTTCCTAACGCCTGTTCTATTCCAAGGCAGAGAGAATAGCCATTTAATTCAAAGCTCCTGTGGATGTCAGACTGCGTTTTTTAATACACAAAAAGGATTTAAGAGCTTGCATTGAGAGGTTGCCCTGAGAAATTGCCCTATATTTCCTCCTGGGAACTTCTGCTGTAAACAGGCTATAGAAGCCAGTTCACCTGGAGCCTCTCTTCCCACTTCCTCATAGCCCTAAAGGAGATTTCACCCTTCTAGTTGCAGACTTAGGCTAGGTCTACACTACCCGCCTGAATCGGCGGGTAGAAATCGATCTCTCGGGGATCGAATTATCGCGTCTCGTCGGGACGCGACAATCGATCCCCGAATCGACGCTCTTACTCCACCAGCGGAGGTGGGAGTAAGCGCCGTCAACGGGGAGCCGCGGAGGTCGATTTTGCCGCCGTCCTCACAGCAGGGTAAGTCGGCTCTGATACGTCGAATTCAGCTACGCTATTCGCGTAGCTGAATTTGCGTATCTTAAATCGACCCTCCCCTGTAGTGAAGACCTGCCCATACACTAACAGGCTGGGAGCACAATGCTTAGTGTACACAAAAGGACATGGAATGTCTGATAGAAGGATGGGGCCACAAATTGCATTTCACTGAGATTTAATGTGACAAAAGTATTTTGGGATGCCATGACAATGTCTCCAAAAATAAGCAGCAAGGGCAAATCAAGAATAATCCAATTCAAATCTTGGATTAGACAAATGGCTCTCCCCATTCTTCGTCAAGGGCCCAATCCTGCAAAGTGGCTGAGACAGTTGAATACCTCTCAGTCTTAGGCCCTATGATTCCATATGCAAACCAGTTATCCAAGCGTCACTGGAGTCAGCTGGCATATGCCCATACCCAACCCTCATTGGCTCAGATTGAGAGACTACAGCACTTATATGAACAGAACAAAGGTGAGTGGGGTGACAGCATCACACACTTACTATTGGAGACACCTATGCAAGAAACAAAATGGCAGAACTCACATTCCATGGGACACACTGTGGAGGCAGAGTTAAGGTGGTTTTGCTACCTTTATTGTGACTTTCCATGTTTTTGAATGTATTTGTTTTTAGCTACATTATAAGGATTTTAATCTTTAAATTACCCAGACATGCTCCCAACCTTAATATCACCCTAACAAAGAGCCTTTTGTGAGGGTATCACGAGGAGCTTGGCATGAACTCCATGGAGAAGACAAATATCCTAGCCCCTTGAAGTCAACACATTCCACCCTAGGTTTGTGTTGAATTTCAAGGCAGGCATACAGCCCACATGAAAAGCTACTCAAGGAGGCATTACATTTAGTTGCTCTTGAATCGGTCAAGAATTTTTTCAGAGAACCCTATCCCAGATGAGTAAATTGGTTCACCTACTCTACATACTGAATAGCAGATCATACCTTCTATAAACAGAGGCATTCTGAAGCCCCACCCCCAACTTCTTCAAAAAGAAGGACAACTGCAACCTCCCAGGACCAAAGTTCTTTAACAGAGTCCAGCAATGCCCCTGAGATGGGCTGTTGCAACATTAGAAGGAAACCCCATCGCCTCTCCCTTGCCACTACATAGCCTATGATTAATTTTTACAAGAAGTCCCCCTCCCCTCCCGGGAGCAGAGCCCGGAGGCACAGGGGAAGGGATGGCTACAGGAATGCAGCCTCTTGCTGATCATGCCAGGCTCTCTAGAGGAATAAAAAAAAAAGGAATAAGGCAGCAGAGTGGGATTTCCACAGCAGAAAGGAGCAACATTGTTGTCTAATCTCTAACAGCACCCCAAGTGGGATAGGAAATTAATATTGCTTTGCTTATCAGCCAACTCTATTTCCCACACAGCATGAGGGAAACTGGCTGACTCATTTTATGCAAAGTGAATCAGTTATTGGCGTGATCCCCTACCAGCCTGAAAAGCCATTTCAACAGCTGTTGCTATCGTGATGCTGCTGATGCCTGAGAAGCTAGGCAGGAACTGGCCAGAAAGCAGGTCCTGCCAGACTCAAAGTTAGCTGCTCCTAGGGTCTGAAGCAAGTGGATAGAGTCAGGTCTGAGGGGGATTCCATATGGTCACAGGGCCTACTGTGCAAGAGGAATACTGTGAGAAGCAGCCTGAGCTTCAGGACACCTCATGCAATAAACAGGACAAGTTTGCTTCAGGAAATCTTAATGAATCTTAACACTTGTTTTCTGAATCATCATAATCCTTCCAAACTTTAAAGCATTCTCTCCAGCCACAGACTCCCCAGTTGTCAAGGAATAGCTGTGGAGCATCAAAGCAAGCCCCTTGCTACAATCCTCATGCTGCTTTATCCCCGGCCCCATCCTCCCCAGGGTTGAGAACATTCCTCACACCTATCGCAGTGACCGCCCCTGGCTCCAGCTGACCAAGCAGCAGCAGTAATTCTGCCCTACCAGGCCAGGATGACAGGTTAGTGTAAGCAGGAGGCTAAAGTGGGGAGATCCTAGAAGAAGCCCTCCTTCCCCCCCCACCCCCCCAAGTACTCTTCACATTATTTTGGCCATTTCACATCCACCACAAAGTGAGCGGAAAATGTAGCTTTAAACAAGGAAGAAATCAGGCATTCACATACTACATTCTTTACTTGTAACACTCTGAATTTATGGGTCACCCCTCACTATTTTGTACATGTTGCATCTCTGTGCAAGTCTAAGCATTCCTAGAAAATCCAAAGTTTCCTGGCTATTTCGGTGCTTTGGAGTCTCTCTGATTAATGGCCTATTACAAAACTTCTGTCCTTGCAACAGGTACATGTTGGGCCACTATTACTTCTAGAAATTCCTGTGTATCTGCACGTGTACATTTCAAGCAGCAGGAGAGCCTAATCACAGCTGACATAGCCAGGTACCATGCCATTCCTGGGCTCCCCTGGGAACAAGGAGGGTCTCCATGGAAACTGACACCATCACTTTTGATAACATCCTGACAGCATAATAACAGAATTTCATTTGTGACAGTACAACACCACAGCACAGCCGAACACTGTTCTGCAGGGAAAAGCAGCTCTTGCCATCACCACCCTCCCCCCCATTTGTTGTCTTGTGATCTGCACAT